TTTGAGATATCAGTCTGAAATTTCGGGAACGACGTTTTCTCCCGAAGAAGCTATTGTTTGCCGAAACGGCCGATATCGGACTTTTATAGCATATAGCTGCCATACAAACCGATCGATCAAACTCAAGTCCATATATGGAAAACTTTTGTATTTGAATAAATATCTTCAGGAAATTTGGAGGAGATTATTTTCAAAGGTAAGGTTACAATCTCTGTATATATTATTAATATCGGACCACTATAGTATATAGCTGCCATACAAATTGACCAATCGAAATCTAGTCTTTGTATGAAAAACCTTTGTATTTAAAAAGATATCTATATCGAAATTTAGTATGATTGATTGATTAAGACAAGCCTATAATTTCTGCAGATAATATTACGATCGCATCACTATAGCATATAGCTGCCCTTCAAACTGACCCTTATATATCAAATTCTTGTATTGAAAATTTTTTTATTTTAGAAGACGTATTCACGAAATTTGGCACATATTATTCTGCAAGACAACGGTTCCATCTCCGAACATATTGTTCAGATCAGATCACTATACTCGTAGCATATAGCTGCCATATAAACTGACCAATCAAAGTTAAAAGGAATATATCTTTGGTATTATAGTTACGATGCAGCCGAAGTTGACGTTTGTTCTTGTTTTTCTCCAGAAAACTAACTGCTTATTTAACTTAATATACAGCTGTTTGTTCAACGAGGACTTTATGCGCTAGCATCGCGATACACAGCGCCAAGCATTAGAAACATACATATTTGCTAAATAAATATTAACTTAATTATTATGCGGTAATGCCACACCTATTGCAACACAAGCATGCAAACATACAAACATTTCTACAAAATATGTGTATTCGTGGATTCGTGGACTTTCCAATTCTCGGAAATTAGTCAAATCACAAACATTAAAAGTATAACTGTCGCGCAGCCTGTGTAACACGTTTATCGCCACACCTACTTGTTTCTCTCATTAACGATTTCTACTTATTTGCGTTTGGTGCGCCGTTACCGCCGCCGCCTCACTTGGCAATGCAAACAGCAAATGTCCTTTGAACTGGAATGCCAACACGTTCACATATATGTGTACATATATTTATATTGTGTAAGTATGTAAGTGCATGCTTATATATTTAGTGATATGCACCTTCTCGGATTTTTCTCTCGCTTCGCTTTGTTTGTTAAGCATTTTGTGCTGGACAGTTGCTTTGCCGCGTTTCCCACACCTACAACACACACATTTATTCACATACTCACACACATACGTTTGCATATACACATCTGTGGGTGCTATTTTATTTTTCTCCTTTAATGCCGCTGCAGTTTTGCATCGTTTCCTATTTTCCCACCATTTTTCGTGCATACCGAGAATCGGAAATTCCTCACTGCACTAATATTTCCTTAGTTCGCTTGTCCTGTCTTGGCGTTAACACGTAAGGAATGTTGGAATTCCTTTGTTCTTTGCTGCTGGCCTGCAAAAGGCTTTTCTCAGCTGGAAATTGCGTGCAAAATAATATTGTTTGAGCACGGAGTTTATACTTAAGCAACTGGTGAATAGCACTAACTCATCTTTGAGTGTGAAATTGCTGTTGCTTTTGTAAAAAATAATTTGTTTTGTAGTAAAAAAAAAATCGTTTATTTTTTATAGTTTGAAATTCAATATATTTTTGAAATTTAGTTTGTCGCCTTCAAACTAATAAAAAATTTCTGTTTGGGGAACAAGAAAAAATCACACGGAGCCAAATCTGGTGAATACGGTGATCGATGGTACCCATTGCTTTTTTGGCTTTACATTCGGTCAAAATCATGGCTGATGCGATAGTTCAGTATAATCGTGTAAAATTCATGAATTGTTCTTCCCCAATTCCAGCCATTTTCGACGGATGTGCTCACACAAACGCCTCAATACGGCCAAATAGAACTTCTTACTGAACGTCTGTCCCTCCGGAACCAACTCATGATGCACCAAACCACAAATATCAATAAAGCAATAAGCATCACCTGTTTTTTTTTTTTTTTTTTTTGTTGGCTCGCTTTTTTCCCTCCATTTCGATGCTTGTTGACTTGTTTTTGCATGTAAAATTCATAAACCCATATCTCATCGGAAGTTATAATGCTCTCCATGAATGTGGAATTAGAATCCGCACGATCAAGAGTGTCCAAAGAGAACTGTTTATGTAAAAAATTCGGCTTTATCGGCACGAGTCGAGCAAGAACCATTTCTTGCCCACAATATTCACCAAAATCATTCAAACGGACTTGCGAGAGATGACAAGCTCTCTTGACGTTTCTCTAACACGTTCATGACGATTTTCACCCATATCCTTCATTTGTTCAATATTTTCTTTAATTGAGGGCTTTCAATGGTGGTCAAGAACAACGCTTGACTTGAATGATCTCTCGATCGCTTTTGAGGGATTTATTACTGAGTAAAAATACTCAAAACTATCATTTTTAGAAAGAGTTGTCCTTCCGAGATATTTCAAAATAAATCATATACATATAACTAAAGTAAATTATGATAAGATCTTAAAGTTAGTACACACACAACCTTCAGAAAGAATCCATGCGCTTTTAAAATTAATTTCAGCACACATTAGTTGTTTAACTTTCATCATATTTAATTATAAAAATATATTTCTTTATGACACATATAAAAAAAGAACATAAAGTCAATTCAACACTACTGCATTGTATAAAAATTGTTGCAAGCTAATAACAACCACACTCCTGCGTTTCTTTCAATTAATTTATATTTTGTTACATGCCTTCTCTCTAAAAATAAACACTATGTAAGCCTTTTTCTTTGAAGCCTTTAAATTTTATTGTCCACTTTATGGCATGCGAGTATGTATCTGTCTCTGCGCCGAAGGCAATTTACCGGAAGTTGTTTGGACTTTTTACGACTTGCGGCATTTACCTTTTAGCCATAAAAGCTTAATACCCTGATGGAAAGCTTGCGGTGAAATATATCAGAAGAAGTTGGAGTGTGTAACGTGAAATGAATGAGAAAGAATTGGGTACCTTAATTATTGACCTTATTAATTGACTATAAAACAGCTAAAATAATATTTTTTGAGTATTAAAGGTATGAGAATTTAATTTAAAAAAAATCAAATTTTAAACTATTTTTATAAAAATTTTGTTAAAAAAATTTTAATTTTTGTTTAAAACTTCGTTAAAAAAAATTTTTTTTGTACGTCTAAACTAATTTTAATATAAAAAAAACCCGAAAGCTTAACAAAGAAGTTAATTTTTGCAAATATACCAAAAACTGTTACAGAAAGCTCAACAAAAAACTCCGTTTCCATTTAGTAATTTTCTTAGAAACTTTTTCCTACTGGGCACCTAAGTTTTCTGTGTGTTTGTTAGGTGAATGCAAATAATCTTTTACAGAATAATAACTATAAAATACAAATACCGTTGCAATAAGCTCTTTACGATGATTTAGCTAAGCAATTTTCAGGTTATAACTTTTATGAGCTTTTCATCAACCACGATATTTTATATCAACGCATATCTCTTTATTTCAAGAAACATTAAGAAAAAAAAATGTTTCATGAAAACAATTTTAAAAAAATCCTTTTTTCCATTAAAAACTAAAACCAAAATTTTTTTTCATTAAAACTGTTGAAGATAGTTGTTTACCTAACACTATGCATGTCATTACATTATTTACGTCATTACATTCTTTACATACTGTCATTCTCACATTTACATGTATAAGTATTAGTTATTACTTTGTTCTTTAATTCTTCTTGTAATATAACTTTTTCTTCTGGATTAAAACCTCGTG